TGGGACTCGATGAAGTCCCTATTAAAGTGTGGAGAGACATGGGGGATGTGGCAATAAAATGGTTGACCAATCTTTTCAATAAGATTCTTCAAGCAAATAAGATGTCTAATGTTTGGAGGAAAAATTTGCTTATGCCTATTTACAAAAACAACGGAGATATTCAAAATTGTTCTAACTATAGAGACATTAAGCTTATGAGCCATACTATGAAGTTATGGGAGAGAGTTATTGAACTTCGCTTGAGGAGAGAGACCAATGTCTCTGTAAATCAATTTGGCTTTATTCCAGAAAGATGTACCATGAAAGTCATTTACTAAATGAGACATTTAATGGAAATATATCAATAAAAGAATAAGGACTTGCATATGGTGTTTATAAATCTTGAGAAGACGTATGATAGGGTCCCAAGAAAAGTTTTATGGAGGGTTCTTGAGAAGAAAAAAGTATAATCAAAGTATGTTGATGTAATCAAAGATATGCATGATGGTACTACTACATATGTGAAAGCTTGTAATAGAACATCAAGTTATTTTCTATCACGGTAGGTGTACACCATGGTTATGCTCTAAGTCCTTATCTCTTTGCCTTAGTTGTGGATGAACTAACAAAAGATATCCAAGAGTAAATGCCATGGTGTATGCTTTTTGCATATGGTATTGCGCTTATTGAAGAGACCAAGGCCGATGTTAATAGAAAACCAGAATTGTGGAGAAGCACGTTGGAGTCTAAAGGATTTACGTTAAGCCGGAGCAAGACTGAGTATATGAAGTGTAAATTTTATCTGGTAAGATATAGAAATCAAGATTTTGTGCATCTGCTTGGACAAGAAGTACTTTAGAAAGATGCTTTCATCCGGGATCAGTTTTGCAAAAAGGTGGAGAGATTAATGAGGAAGCAAATAACGGAATCAATTTTGTAACCAAGAGTTTAACACAAAGTGAGGTAGAGGTAGACTGAAACTTACTTAGGGGAAGGTAATAAACAAGACTTAATAGGATGACATAGATTGGTGGACGGTGTGTCTTAGGAGAAAGTAGAGAAAAACTATAAGAATGGTGGAAGGTTAGACCCGTTTTTTATTCCTATGTTACAGATTGTCCTTTTTTAGTCTTTTTTCTCTTTATCTCTCCCTCTCCCTTTCTTTCCTTTTCCTTCTTTTATTTTATTTCATTTTTCCTATCAATCTTTTTTCTCTTACTTATTTTTTAGTTATTATTCTTTTTTTCTTTTATTTTATTTTATTTTAGTTATTTTTTTATTCCTTACTTTCTTATTCTTTTCTATTCTTCTATATATTTATATTTTAATTTATTTTTCATTTTAATCGTGTACTGTTATATATATATATATATATATATATATATATATATATATATATATATATATATATATATATAGGATAGGATATTGTCACTACCATATCTTAACCGTTGATTTTCGTCAATCAACGGTTATTATTTTTGCAAATCAAACTCATTAATTAATTATTAATTAACAATAAATGATAACCGTCGATTGACAGAAATCAACGGTTAAGATATGGTAGTAACATTATTTGATAGTAATAATATCCTATCTCTCTCTCTATATATATATATCCAAACAAGTCAGCCAACTCAATGGCTCGATTGATTGGAGTGCTAGTTCCTTGATAAATGTGATGACCAAGAAATCTGATTTTTGCTTGAAAAAGATTTATTTTTGATTTAGAAAGGGGTAAACCATTTGTTGATCAATGTGATTATATATATATATATATATATATATATATATATATATAGTTTATTTTTATCCTTTTTTCTCGATCGTTTTGTATCTCTCTTTTTGATTCATCTTTCACCGATCCCAAATAGTTTCAGATAAAAATATCGTTGATGTTGATGTTGATTTTGTTGATTTCTATCACACCCCTCGTATAAAAGCTCTTTTTTAACACAGATGTACGACGACTTGGTACGCGTATTAGGAGCATCATTTTCACAAAGTTATTTGAGATTATCTAATAACCACGGCCTTAAATTACAGTTGCCAAGTTGGTGGAAGACTATAAAGAAGCTGATGATGATGATATCTTAACAATTTGAAGTCTGTGTTCAATAAAATTCGTCAAAATATGGATTTACTCAAAACATAGCAGCACTGCCCTTTACCTTGGTTTTCTTAATTCATTCACCTGCTATGAAGTGTTTCAACTTTCTACTTATCATATTAAGCATCTTAGGCAACAAAAGCCATAATTAACCACAGTTTTATCTCCTCAAGAAAAGAATATCTAAATTAAAAAATTCATTCATACATGGCCAAGGGATGACTAGCTTATTTCAGTGAAAAATGAACAATTAGCATTTAATGCTTTTAAGAATCTTACATTAAAATTGTCACAAATAAACATTATAAAGCTAGTTGATGACAACCAAGGTTTCTTCCATTTTTGTTCTTAGACTGGGACGGAATCTTTCAGGTATTTATTGTTGTGAACTTTGAATACACATAATTTTATGCAACAGATGACATGTTTGCTGATGTGGCCAAATCTAGTCCCATCAAATTGTACGGACATACCGTCCAAAATTAGGTGCACTGGAATTCTGCCCTCATCATTAGTTGCTTATATACAGTGAAACTTTGTGTTCTTTAATATCAAAAACACAAAAGAATTCAATAGATTTACCTTCAAATAAAGCCAACTTTAGTAAAATAAAATAAAGGAGATCAGGAATTTGCTTTATTTTCTTGGGAAACCAGTAATTGGCTCAAAATGGTCCTTCACTCTAATACACCATTCCTGTTTTATGCCCAGCGTTTATTATGCTTTTCCTTAACCAATTGGGACTCTACCTTTCAAAACTACTTCAGGAATAACTTTCTCATGGCCCTAAGTAACGCACATAGCCTAAAAATGATGGGCCAACTAACATTAGTACACCACATATAACACTTAAATGAAGAACAATCGAAAAATCACCAAACACATGGATTAACTGATAAGGAGTTCTTCCAGCATAACCAGTAATCTCGAGTTTGAGTCTTTGAAAACACAGCTATACTAATCGAATAATTGATATATATTAGTGGCATGAAATATTATTGATGGCATGAAATAAGATGCAGCACTTGTGGCTTTATATTAGTGGCATCTATTCCTCCTCTAAGTTAGAAACATAAAGTGCAAGCAAGCACGTATGCCTTATCCTAGATTAAAACAGGACTAAAGCATTAAAGCATATCCATTAAAACATAACAAAATGATATACACTCAAGCATGCATTAATATCAACATTATTTACCTTTAACTCTGTTGAAATGTATAGTCTCACATTGGTTGTATGAGCAACTAATGTGGCCTTTATAAGGCCTTGGGCACTCCCACCCTTTGAGCTAGCTTTTGGGGTAGTGTATCCCAAGGTTCTTTACATGATATCAGAGCCTCGTGTCCCGGGATCGATCCTCGTCGCCCCCCACTTTCTTTCAAGTTGAATTTCTTTGATCGCACATGTTGATGGGCATGTGCATTTCCACCCTTCAAACCCAGTGGGGTCTCGTGTGAGGGGGCATTGTTGATGGGCCTGTGCATTCCCACCCTTCAAGTTCAGTGGGCTCTCGTATGAGGGGGCGTTGTTGATGGGCCTGTGCATCTCCACCCTTCAAGTCCAGTGGGCTCTCGTGTGAAGAGGCGTGTTGAGATATATAAAATCATTAATGTAGCCTCACCCAATAGCTTAAGTTTTTGGGTTGAATTGGTTCTTTACAAACTCTATCTTCTAAATTTTTAAGAACAATTTTCTTTAGATAATCTCCTGGTTCATGCACTACAAATGCCTTAATATATACATGTATTGAAGTTGTACGAGCAACTATACTGGGGACAATGAGGAGCTTTCTGTAATGGCCAGAGGAATTTAATATATTCACACTGATAATTATCTTTTAAGGAGGGAGAGCTATAGATTCCTACATGTAAGAGTTGCTTCAAAAAGCTTAAGATTCTTAAATTACAGAGTGGTAACTGGTAAGCGTCAAGCACACTGAAACGCTCTGATATTCATAACTGCATAGAAAGAATCTTTCATCAGACGTGGAGAAGATCTATACTTTTGAAAAGTAGTGTGCAAAAACTCTGTTGTCTATGCAAAGTAAGCGGTAGTTAAAAGATTGGCTAGAAAAGAACATGAATTAGTAGAGGATTCTTGGACGGTAAGATATTATAACAACTAATAATTCCTGATCAATGGACCCATATGTCATTATTAAAATCAGGAAGAATATATTGCTCGACTTTAAGATCAACTATAAATTTGAAAGACAAAAGATATGGCTGGACTCAACTCAATCTAGCATGAGACAAACATTCTACTAATATATTGTTTGATTTTGTTGTTTCTTCTGCTCCCATTGGTTCAAATCTTGTTGGAAGAGTCAGTATTGGTTCAGGATTAGGTAATCTGCATCCTGAGGTTTAAAAACAAAACGCTTATTGTTTCTAGTCCTTGGTATGCAGATTGCCACTTCCTTATGTTATGAGCAATGTACAGAGCAATTAAATTAGTTTGCTAAAGTTAACATTTTTTTTTTTGTTTCCAACAGGTTCATCGATTATCAGACTAATTTAGAGAACTTGAATTTGAGACTCCGGTAAAGAGGAACAAGTTCCTACCACTTGAACCAATGATTTTTGGAAATTAACATTCTTCTTTACTTAGAAGAGTTATATATTCTAGTGTTTATTGTATTGGACTGAAATGATACTAAAGTTCCTTTAAGGTGTTGCTGGTGTACCTTAAGGCATCTGCAGAGGAAATGAGAGTTTCTGGTGTGTGCCTATAGATAAAAGATGCATTATATCTATTCATCTATCTATCTTACATGGGAATATATATGGATTTTATCAATGAGTAAAGCAGCCAATATAGATCAAGTTCATTCGAGAGCGTCACATATAAGAAATTAGACCGGAGTTTGCACTTGTCAAACTGCTTACAAATAGCTAGACACAGGAAGAGTGATCAAATATTTTATTCTATATAGATTTTCAGAAACAATTTGGAAGCACCATTGCTGTAGTTTTTGTCTGCTCCTTCTATAACTGATTTCTCTTGAAAGATTAAACATGGTTAACACAGGTCAATTAGGAATAGGCAGTTTAGGTGGTTCTTTAACATACTACAAGATTTTTGGAATTTATTAATCAGTATTTCTAGCTTTCTGTAGCACTCCAATAACTTCTTCCCTGCTTTCTGTGAAGTCCTTCGCATCTTTGAAGATCAGAAATTCCATCATCTCCACATGAAAGAATATGAAACTTCCACATAAATGTGTAATACAAGATCCAAAGTCCTTGCCAACCACGGAATTCCATGCAGGTCCATATGCTTCATCAAGTTTCTGTCTAACAAGTTAATTAACTGAGATAGTTTTCACACGAAAGATTAAATACATCTAATACGCTGCAAAGCACACGGATTTTAGTCATAGCTTAACATACACATGTTACTCAGTTATGGGTTATTCATATAAACTAAGCTATAGACATAACTGTAGCAATACTTACTTGATAATGTAAAGTGACTGCTATTTTCTTAAGATGTATGGAATTGAAAACTTGGTGAGTGATTATTTCAATGAATAATTAAAAAACCACTCCCCATTAAACCCTGAGTATTAGCAAGGGTGAGATAAAGGCAATCCTTGTACGCAGCCTTACTTTTGCATAATTGCAAAGAAGTTGTTTTCCAAGTTCAAACCAATGACATTTAAGTCACAAAAGAACAAGTTTACCACTCCTTCAAACTCGTCCTCAAGATATGTTCAAGTAAAAATAATCCGATTAAAAGAAGTAGGGGAAGACTCAAGAAAACTACAAGAAACCATGTAAGATAAACCTGATCTATGGTTTCATTGATTTTTGGGGAGGGGTCTATTACATTCTAAGTTCACCACATGCCATAACTAGAGCTGAGAGCATTACATTTACAAATAGCCTCCCAAGAGATATTGCTAGAAGCAAGAACGAACTTATATAATTTTAATACATACAACATAACTATTTGTAAGTAAATCTAGAAGCAAAATAAGCATATTTCATAAAATAAGAATTCTTTATGCTTCCTTATGAGAACACTTAAAGAACATATCAGAAGACAAACATGATTATGTACTTTGACTAGGAAAAAAAAAAAAGTTAAAGGGGTTGGGTATTTTAAGATAGACCTGTTTGATGAAACAAGCAATGGACTGACAATCAGAAACTTCATGTGCATCGAGAGCTTGGTGAGCTAACTCCATAACATGGTTCTGCATCACCTCTGGCATATCTGTCTCTCGCACCACAGCTTTTCCTTCCAACATCTTGAGCTACAACCAGTGTAGCATAGTCACAGGAGAGGCTTATGGTTACTGTCCACCACATATATAGACTGTAAAGGCCAAACAAGTAGAGCACATTTTTTGTGTGAGTAAAATCTTCAGTGGTTGAGATTTTGAGATTGATAAAATCTTCCCATACATATTCATTTTATTCTTTTCTTTACTTTCTATTGGTCTTAGGCCGTTTTAGTTGTCTTTCATCACCACAGAAAATGAAATTTTGTACTCACTTGGAGATGTTACAGTCCAAAACAGTTGTAAGTTGTAAGTTGTAACTAAAATATCGCAACCTTAACTCGGAAGAGACGAAATAAGATTCTGACTTTGAAGAATGACCTTGGGGTGTGGATAACGGTCCGGGTGAGTTGAAGAATATGGTGCTGGAGTTCTACAGGAAGTTATATACTCACTTTTCCTGTAACGGGGGGATTTCCTAAGGTCACCAGCCTCTCTTTCAATCATGTCCAAAGAGTACCTAACCGAGCGGAGATAGGAGAGATTTGCATGAGTATGGACGGTTTCAAGGCCCCGGGGCCCGATGGTGTGCAGGCTTGCTTCCTCCAAACTCAATGGGAGGTAGTTGGAGATTCCGTGGTTAATCTGATAAGGGACATCTTCCACGACCTCAGGAAAATAGGGGAGATTAACCGGTCTTCTATATGCCTTATCCCCAAGGAGGACAACCCGGATTCCCTTAATAAACTGCGGCCGATCAGCTTATGTAACGTGGTTTTCAAAGTGGTTACAAAAATTATTGCAAATAAATTAAAACCGCATATGAATGTTCTGATTTTACCTAATCAGAGTAGCTTCATTAAGGGGAGGCATAGCAGTGATAATATTATCATTGCACAGGAAATCATTCATTCTATGAGATTCAAGAGGGGTGGGGTTGGATGGATGGCTATCAAGGTCGATTTGGAGAAAGCATATGACAGGGTTGATTGGGGATACTTTCCTCAAACTCTTCTAGAGGTGGGTTTCAACTATGAAACGGTCAATCTCATTATGGAATGAGTCACTTCAACTGTTATGAATGTACTGTGGGAAGGAGAAACCACTGAGGATTTCACTCCCAGTAGAGGAATCAGGCAAGGAGACCCATTGTCTCCATATATTTTTGTCATGTGTATCGAGAGGCTGGCTCACTTGATCTTGGAAGCCACCTCACGCAGGTTGTGGAAACCTGTGGTGCTAAAAAATGATGGACCTCCTATCTCACACCTGTTTTTTGCAGAAGCAACTGTCGAGCAAGCCACTCTCATAGGTAAGATCCTGAATTGCTTTTGCGATTCATCAGGCCAGAAAGTTAGTAAAGATAAGACCAAAGTGTTTTTCTCCAGAAACGTGAATCACAACAGGGCCACACAGACTGCTCAAGTGATGGACTATCCTATTGCGGCTGACCTTGGCAAATACTTGGGCATTCCCCTATTGAGTGAGAGAGTAAGGCCATCGACCTTTGGCTATGTCCTGGACAGAATGGATAAGAGATTGAATAACTGGAATAGGTCATCCTTATCCCTTGCAGGAAGATCTACCCTTGTGCAGTCAGTCTTATCCACGATACCTGCATTCTCCGTGCAGACTTGCCTGCTCCCCAATTCAATTTGTGACAAAATCGAGCAAAGATCCAGAATGTTCTTATGGGGTTCCACCCCTGACAAGAGGAAGGTCCATTCCGTGGCTTGGGAAAGGGTATGCCAGTCGAAGAGTTGCGATGGCATGGGGATTCGGAGGATGAGAGAAAATAACCAAGCCTTCCTCATGAAAGTGGGACATGGTATCCTCACCCAACGATCCAGCCTTTGGGTCCTTGTGCTCAGGAACAAGTACGGGATGGGTGATGGGATCATACCGGAGCAGAAAGCAAGATGTCAAGTCTCAAACCTTTGGAGGGGAGTTATGTGCACCTGGCCAAAGGTGGTGGAGAGGTCCAGAATCCAAATTGGGAATGGATGCAACACGAACTTCTTAAGGGATAGGTGGCTGTCATCGAATCAGAGGGTGATCACTAGGGAGGCTGCTTATATTCTGGAGCTGGTTCATGGTTGGACGGTGGACAAGTTTGTCAGTTGCAACGAAAATTGGAACTGGGACCTGCTGTACAATATGTTGTCCCTTTCATTTTGCACGGCCATTGTTGCGTAAAATCGGCAAGTGCACCGCCGATCGTACCAAGTAATAAAATAGTGAGTAGAGATCGTCTCCACGAGGATTGAGGCACCGAATTTATTTTAACTATTCCTTTCTTATTGGATGAATAAAAATTGGTTTTTGAGAATAATTGTGTTATAACAATTGTGAACTATTTAATATCTTGTGAACAATTCAAAGAGAAAATTGAAAACTTAAAACAAAAGGTTTTTGAGAAAATATTTTAAAAAGCTATTGCAGTAAAGGACGCCAACACCTTTCCGATCCCCACCTTGTAATATTAATTAATGTTTACATTTAATTACCCAATTGATCAAACAATTCACCATCTATTAATTAATTAGTTAAGCCATAATCCCGTAGTGATCTTAACTTTATTAACCCTATTAGAATCCTAATCCCTTAGAAATCTTTTTTCAAGTTAATCCTTTAACTCAGTGAATTTTCCACGTTTGCAATTCATGTAGCTTATCCCTAGTGCATACTTGAACTGTTATTTTACCCTTTGTCAGGAACTAGAATCCCAGTATTCCTATTGAAAACCCTAACCCTAGCAATCCTAATAGAGTGATCAATTCTAAAAGAATTATAGATGAAGAACATGATAAAATAAATCAATTGAAATAATTAAATACAAATTTAACCAAACTACAAGGGGTTCACATCAAGGGTTGTGACCCTTACCACAATATAAAAACTAGCCAGACATATTCATGTCTGACAATTCAAAGTATTGAAAAGAATTCATAAATAAATAAAAACCAGAAAATTGGAGAAGAAGCTTGCTCTGCGTTCTGCATCCGTCAATCTCTCTCTGTGCAAAAGTTATCTTCCTGTGGAGGTCTGAGTCTCTATTTATAGAGTCTTTGACCTTGTGTAGAATCTTGATCTAATCCTTAACGCAATCTCAGTGCAATCTTGTCTCTGATTTAAAAAGGGATTTAATGCTGATTGTCCGCACCTCCCACGCCACTAGCGTGGTTCCCACGCTGTGAGCGTGGGAGGTTTTCTTCAAAATCCTGGAGCACCACGCAACTAACGTGGTTGCCACGCTACAAGCGTGGACTGTTTGAGGGTCTCGCGCTACTAGCGTGAATCCCACACTAGTAGTGTGGATGCTTCTGCCTGAATTGGATTTCTGGCGCCACTAGCGTGATTCCCACGCTAGTAGCATGGATGCCTCTGGCTGAAAAGCTCCTTTCATGCTTTGAGCGTCATACCCACGCTGTGAGCGTGGGCCTTCAGTTTAGCTTTTTCCTTTTTAGCTCCAGTTTGTCTGTTTTTCCTACGAAATCAACATAAAATCAGTATGCAATCCCTGATTAAGATTTTGACAGATCAACAGTGATTATTGCCCTTTTTGCTTAAGATTTAATCAACATTCTTTCTCTTTTTGCTTAGATTTCCTTATATGTTGAATACATATCAAACAATTCCCAGATTTGAACTTTGTTGTCCTCAGCAATGTAATAGATTCAATTCATCAGCAAAGAATAATTCTGTGAAAACATGGAACACAACATCTTAAGAATTTAGACTGCTATGCATGTATAACTCTCTGTTAAAAACTTCCAACAATGCTTTTCAGTTGTATCAAGAATTTAAATCCTAACTTGAACATTCCTCACAGTTTAAATGTACTCTCAACACTCTCAGTGTTTGAGGGTTTCACATTTATCCGTCAGTGTAGCAGTAATTCCATAGGCTTGAACTTATTCTCAATTCCTAAGAATGAGGAATCCATTTGACATGCATAGACTGATCAAAAAGGTCTTTGATAGGTTGTAACTTGGCCTGTTTTGGGGGTGAGAATCTTTTGGTCAGAAGCTGATTGAAGAGATTGAAATACTAATTTTAACAATACTTCTTTCTCTTCTAGGCTTTGCCTCATTTTACAAACTTGAGATTATTTCCCTTTCGTCACTACCTTTTTCTTTCCTTGTTTGCAGATGTTTTCTTTCTTTTCTCTTTTGAGCTGCAAATTTTCTTTTTTTTCCTTTTTCTGAATTTTTGCCATATTTTGCAAATCAGTCTTTTGTTTCCTTTTTCAACTACTTATCTTTCCTTTGAGAAGTACCTTGACTTTCTTCTTTGATCATCATTCAATCTCTCAAGGTGTGCCAAGAGGAACAGGATTAAGTAATTTTCATCAGGTTTGAATGAACTGGTTTAAGGCTCAAAAGGGCTTAACAATGAGAATTCTTATAGGTAGGCTGTTTGGCTCTAAGTTAGCAAGAATAAAAATGCCCTTATCATATCAGTAATGCATGCAAGCCAGAGAAACAGTTCAAGTTCTAGAAACTACTACAGTGAGGCCTCGCTAAAAAAAAATTCTGTTTAGGCTCAAATCCTCACAGTTATAATTCAATCTAGAATCTCAATTCAAAGTTTCACATCAAGCATTATCCGAAAATTTTAACCAAAATAGTTATAAAAACGAGCAGTCATCATTCTCAGATAAAAATAATTAATTGCTCACAGATATCATGCTTCCTCTAACTCAATCTAATTACTTACTGAGTAAGCTTAAAACACTCTGGGACTGCTTGTTTAGGAATACTCTAAAAATTTTCTCTTTTTCTTTAAAAATTGAATCTAACTAAAAATAGCAAATAAAAAAAAAATTGAAGGTTAAAATATCTCCCCTTTTTCAGAAAAATTTATGTTTAGACGTCCTTTCCGTGGTGTAGTTCCACAGTATTTAGCAAGCCTCGCATACAGTATGCGACAATTCCCAGATTTAGAACGTTGTTGTCCTCAGCAACAAAATATACTAGTCGAAGGGCTAAATCTGCCAGATACAACACACACACACACACTTGTTAAACAGTAAACACAGAATAATCATGAAAATGTACTGCATAAGGAGAAATAATCCAATCATATAAACCAACAAAGTACTCAAAACATCAAAATAAAATGCCTAAGTAAATGTCAGGGTGCAGTGAGTGATAGTGATGCTATGTAAAAGAAAATCATGCGTCGTCCATAACAGCATCATCATCATCAAGATCAGCAATGGCTACATCAGCAGCAACATGATCAGCATCCGTAGTAGGAGCTACAGGTGGCTCAGCCTGCACAGGAGGTGGTTGTGGTGGAAATTGCGACCTGAAGCTAGCCGTGTCAATCCCTTTATCAAGGCATAGCCTCTCCATCATGCTCATAATGTACTGGTTCTGGATCATCATCTGCTGCTGGCGCTGGTCCATAGCCTGGAGAAGTAGAGAATCAGCTGTGGGAGCTACGGCTGCTGCTGGTGGCTCATCATCTGGCTCAGGTGATGCCAGTGGAGGTGGAGGTAATATGTCGTCAGATGCCCTCCATATGGCCTGCTTGCGTGATTCATTCCTCATAGCCCAATAATGACTCTGCGTCATTTCCCTCTTCAACTTTACATCTCGGGGCTCCTCCTCTGGTATCTCCACTCCAGCCTGCACACATAGCTGTTCAATCAATGACCAATGTGCTAGGCGATGGTCAGGCTTTCCCTGAGTGATGATAGAAACTATCTTATAAGACAGAATAGCTCCAATGTGGAGATTCGCCTCTCCCAAGAGAGTATACAACAACACGGCTCTCTCCACATTAACATCACTCAAATTGGTGGAAGCTATAATGTTGGAGTTAATGAAAGAATGCTAGAAAATGGCCTCCTCATTAAGGTCCAGCCTATCCAATTTTTCAGGCACATCCGGCTGACCACTCTTAGGCTTCCAAGAAGACTGTGGCTGGGTGATGGCTGTCCTGACTTCTTCAGCAATGTCAGGCATGTCTTCTCTATACAG